TACAAAACACCAGTGTCAAGACAACATTGTATTTAAGCTAGTGGTGTAAACTTAGGTAAGTGTTTCAAGGACAAGGAGGGACAACTTAAGACACTCACAGGTATAAACGAATGTGTGTTACAATCTTAAATTTATTATGATTAAAAAAATCACTCAGATGAGGAATGGTGGCTCTTAAAAATACATTCTACTATTCCCTGTCCTAACTGGAAATCCCTGTGATCGTTAGCGACAACCAATGATATAATGTATTGAGGGAAGTGTTATCACTGTACCAGCACTGGGAACGATCCCCAAGATGTCACTACTGTTGAGGAAAATGTAAATTTCCAGGCCTGAGTGTGATAATGTTGAAATTTGACTGATTAAGTATTGTCATGGGTAAGCTGAGCATTCTGAAAAGTCACATGTGCATACAAGCACACGCATACACGAGAAATACACACATGAACACAACACACACACACACACACACACACACACAAGGAGAGGTTAAGGGAAATCGACTTGATATGGAAGACAGGAGAGATAGGGGGTATATGATAACGACATGTAAAATACTGAGAGGAACCGACGAGGTGGACAGAAACAGGATGTTTCAGAGATGGGACACAGCAGCAAGGGGTCATAGTTGGAAGTTGAAGACACAGATGAATCACAGGGATGTTAGGAAGTATTACTTCAGTCACAGAGTTGTCACGAAGTGGAACAGTCTGGGAAGTGATGTAGTGGAGGCAGGATCCATACATAGCTTTAAGAAGAGGTACGATAAAGCTCATGGAGCGGGAAGAGTGACCGAGTAACGGCCAGTGAAGAGGCGGGGCCAAGAGCTGTGACTCGACCTCTGCAACCACAACTAGGTGAGTACACAAGATAAAGCAAAGAGGCGGGGACAGGAGCTACGCCTCGACCCCTGCAACCACAAACAGGTGAGTACACAGTAAGCCATCAGCTAATCGATGTCCTAAAGCAATGCCAAAACGCAACATCTCGAGATAATTTGGTTCAGTGTCCCTCATCAAACAGATAAACCACAAGAGTCAACGGTACATCAAGGGAAATCGAAAGAAAAAAAATCTTCAAAAAAACAAATGGTAGACTGCAAGAATGAAATTCAATAGGTTGTATGTGGCACAACTGCATATACATTTGACATTTTAAACATTAACATCATAGTTCTGCTCTTGTGGCTGCAAATACTAGAGGGACATGAAGAGCCTAACTGAACTATACACAGGTAATTACAAGAGAAGCAGTCTTTATCAGTCTGGTTAGGTTAGGTTAGGTAAGGTTCGTCAGGAAACAGGACAAATGTTTCCTGACGCGGGTCTTAGTCAGATGATGACCCGCCTTTGGAGCTTTTGGTCATCTGACCGAGGCCTTCTGCTGGCTTACCGGTCCACCCCTTTAAAAATTATGGTCATTTATAAGCAGTCTGTCTATATACCTTAATAATCAGTCTGGTGTCAATGGTCTTTATATCGTGATAGTAAACAACAAATCAGCTTTATCACCAGTTTTTGTTTATTTAAAATTCCTGGATCTGAAATAGTTGGTCTTATTTTCGTTACGCTAACGATGAAATATATAAAAGATTGCGATAATCCTGAACTGTACCCCATGATGTTCTGGACTGTTCTAACAACATTGAATTGTACCCACGACGCACTGGACTGGGAACTCCCTTTACTGGGTACATCCAGAACGAAACACGTCCTTGAAGACTGTACCTAAGTAAACTTTCTCATCTGAAGTGTGCAATAGTTGCGAGTTATAACAGACTTGAGCCACTTTTTATTGATGCCTGGACTAGTCTCCAACAGATACCTGAACCAGTTGCAACAGTCATCTGTGTACAGTTCTTGAGGTGTTGGGTCTGCCTTAGATTATTTTCCCGCTATTTAAGGTAGGCTTCAGTGACTTATCCATGAAACACGTCAATTTCTAACCAATTAAATTATTTATCGTCTAAGCAGCCTCGTAGCCCTTTACTCACAAGTTCAACCATTACAGGTTCTGGCTTGTGTTCTGGGTACGGTGGGGCTAGCCGCAGCTGTCCCTGTTCCATCTACGCCTCAACAAGTTCCCAGCGTAAATGATAATGCGCTGGACTCGGAGGTACTTTCAGAAGTCGCTGCTCTCACCTCCAAGTTCCTCCCTGCCCTAAGAGAGGCCTTCAACAACGAGGAAGGGACACGATGGGTAGGATCAACAGAATCAGTCAATCCTTCCTCCCACTGGCTCGAGCCGTTGTTAAGTACAGAAGTGATACTGAGGATAACTACAACGTTGACTCCAGCCAAAAGCAGCAGGAGGCTGCGGAAGCCGTAGTTCCGGTGCTGCTGGACTTAGTCAAACTCCTCGTGGAGATAATGCCGCAGGTGCCGCAACAAACCAATTTTAACGTACAAGATTTAAAGCTTCCTACCATCGACAGCGAGTTCGTTCCTGACCAAACGATCCCTGAGGTCAAGATTCCAGCTACTAAATTTGTACCAGAAATTGTTATTCCCGAAATCAAGATTCAATAGTTGTGAAAATATTTTGATACCAAGAAAAAAAGAAATTAAGAACATGGCAACAATGTTGATGGCAAAATAATCAGATGCCATCGTTTACTTAATATTCGACACTGCGTTATTTTCACTATTTTGGATAAAAATAAAATGCATATTCGTCTTATATATCGGGCATTATAATTACGTGGCATTAGACTAATTAACATTGTCCATCCATACTTGCACCTGTTGCTCAAAGAACCAATTCTGGTCACAATAGTGTCGATTATGATGTCATGGCGTAATCCTTGGTAACAGATACCGAGAAACTGGTTTAGAATGACACGTGAGCAAACACTAGGACCTTGATTAAGGTCCCAGGACCGAAACGTCGTTTTATAATAAATATGTCCTACTGTTTGCTCGCTAGTCTTTCTAAACCATGATCAGGTGATGCATAACAGGACGCAGCGCCTGACTCTTCCAGTGGAAACAATATATCAACCTGTGTCACTTGATACTAAGGATTAAGAAAACGTACCAAAAACGGGAAGGGTAATTTAACAGTGACTACTCTCAAATATCTTTCACTTTCACTCTCTTAATGATTACACAAGGACGGGGGAGGTAAGGGGGGGGGGAATGGACAGTCACTCTGATATTATACATATCTTGCGTATTCTGCTGACTGGCCAGACTGAATGACTGTATTTATAACAGAAGCCCCATTTTTACCTCAAATACACTACACGAGATTTATATCGGTGTGCCTCGGGCGCTCAGTGACTTATGTCTATACCTGTCTTACCAGTACACACACACACACACACACACATACACACACACACACACACACACACACACGGACAAACAAAAAAGGGTAGGTGTCTATCGAAAAGCGATTTTGACAACTGATAACGAACAAACGTCAAAAGACGAGTATTTGGGAAAAAATGCGGAACAAGTTGGACTGAGTCATTTTTGGCCCAGGAAGTGGCAAAAAAGTGGGAAAGTGGCCGGGAGGTTAGTATTGCTGACTCTTCCAGTGAGGTACATGTAGGTGCTGGCGAGGGAATCGTCAGCCAAGGACCCAATGGAAATAAGTCACTTAATCTGCCTTCTTTTGGGTTATAAGAACATAAGATTGGAGAAACACTGCAGAAGGCCTACTGGCCAATACAAAGCAGGTCCTTATAAAAACTACCCCTACCCAAAGCTACTCAACAATATCCTCCCGTACCCAATGAAACCAATCAAATCCAGCCCCTCCAACTCATGTATTTTTCCAATCTCTTTTTAAAGCTACCCAAGGCCCTAGCCTCGATCACCCTGGGTAATTTAAAATACTTATAACTGTACTTCAGTGTACCTGTGTCTAAATAAACTTAATTGCTTACTAACCAATTGCTTTGCATGACCCTTACCAGTAGAGCTTAATACTACTAAAATAATAATATTTATATTAATATTAAGGGAAAAAATTATGCTGTGGACCTGAGCTCAGGGTGGCAATACCTGTACTCATTATGTGGTTCTGTAATATTTTTGACTACCGCCCACTGGGGTAGCCTACAGGAAGGGTATGGGGTATCAACCACTCACAGAAAGAGGGTATGGGGGATAACTACCACCAACTGGAAGGGACCAAATGGGTAATTGACCTCTCAGGGGAAGGGTATAGAGTATCCAGTAGTGGGTCTGCCACCCATATACAGGAAAAGTATGGGATAACTGCTACCCCACATGTTGTGTATGTCACTATCGCTTACGTAATGGATATTGGTTGACGATTTTCCACGTGATAGGTATAGAGTGACTACCACGTGATAGGTGTAGAGTGACTACCACGTGATAGATATAGAATGAATGCCAAGTGATAGGTATAGGGCGTCTTTCACCCACAGGAAATATATAGGGTGATTATAACCCCCGTGATAGGATTAAGGTGACTATCATCCTCGTGATAGCTATAAGGTAACTATCAATCAGGTGATAAGCATAAGCTAACCTACCGCCCACAAGATGGGCATTATATGACTACCTGTCTCCTCCCCTAACTCCTTCACCTGTCTCCTCCACCACCTACCTCTTACACCTGCGTCCTCCACCACCTACCTCCTCCACCTGCCTTCTCCACTTCCAACACTATTGCAAACACATTTCCGGACATATCAATTCTTGTACAATTAATTCTCTGGGAAGCGCACTCCCGAGACGGATAACTGGCCTTACTTAGGTTTCAGCTCAACGTTGGAAATCCGCATCGATCAGTATCACAGTAAATCTCTGCTCCAGCAATACCATCTGCCGTGCAGCAATACCCCCTGCCCTGCAGCATACACCTCCTGAATGCAACATATACTCCCTGCCCTGACAATACACTCAGCACTGCACCACTATCCTCCTACTGCCTATCAGTAATCCCCTGCCCTGCTGCACTACTACCACCTCCCTACGCAATATCACTGCCCGCAGCAATACCCCTGCTCTGCACCAATACCCCTACCTGCAGCAAAAACCCCTGCTTCCTGCAGCACTAATCTCCTGCATGGCAGCACTTACCCCTGCCCTCAGAAGTACCCTGTCTGCAGCAATACCACTGCCTGCACCAATACCCTACCCTGGCAGCAATACCACCTGCCTGCAGCAATACCCCCTCCCTGCACGTACTCCCTCCCTGCATGCACTACCCCCACCCTGAAGTACTACCTGCCTCCATGCAGCACTAACCCCTGCCCTGCAGCAGTAACCCCCTGCCCTGCAGCATACCCCCTACATTGCAGCATTCCCCATGCCACACAGCAGTACCTCGCCCTGCAGCAGATACCCCGTACCCTTTGCAGCACTACCCCTGCCCTGCAGCAAACCCCTACCCTGCAGCACTACCCCCTGCCCTGAGCAGTATCCTGCCCTGCAGCAACCCCCTACCCTGCAGCAAGTACCCCTACCCTGCAGCAGTACCCCTTCCCTGCAGCAGTACCCCCTGCCTGCAGCCGGTACCCCCTGCCTGCAGCACTACCCCATACCCTGCAGCACTAACCCCCTGCCCTGCAGCATACCCCTGCCCTGCAGCACTACCCCCTCCCTGCAGCACTACCCTACCCTGCAGCAGTACCCCTACCCTGCAGCATACCCCTCCCCTGCAGCAGCTACCCCCTGCCCTGCAGCAGTACCCCTACCCTGCAGCACTACCCCTGCCCTGCAGCACTACCCCTGCCCTGCAGCATTTACCCCCTGCCCTGCAGCACTACCCCCTACCTGCAGCACTACCCCTACCCTGCAGCAACTGCTGCCCCCTACCCTGCAGCACTACCCCCAAACCTGCAGCTACACCCCTACCCTGCAGCACTACCCCCTACCCTGCACACTACCTCCTACCCTGCAGCACTACCCTACCCTGCAGTAGTCACCGCGTACCCCTCTGCAGCAGTACCCCCTACCCTGCAGACTACCCCCTACCCTGCAGCACTACCCCTGCCCTGCAGCACTAACCCTGCCCTGCAGCACTACCCCTACCCTGCAGCACTACCCCCTACCTGCAGCACTACCACCTACCCTGCAGCACTGACCCCTACCCTGCACACTACCCCCTCCCTGCAGCACTACCCCCTAGCCCAGCAGCAGTACCCCTTCCCTGCAGAACGTACCTCCTACCCTGCAGCCTACCCTCTACCTGCAGCACTACCCCTACCCTGCAGCACTACCCCTGCCCTGCAGCACTACCCCTACCCTGCAGCACTACCCTACCCCCCTACCCTGCAGCACTACCCCTACCCAGCAGCAGTATCCCCTGCCCTGCAGCAGTACCGTGTCCTGCAGCAGTACCGTGTCCTGCAGCAGTACAGTGTCCTGCAGCAGTACCCCCTGTCCTGCAGCAGTACCCCTGCCCTGCACCAGTACCCCCTGCCCTGCAGCAGTACCCCCTGCCCTGCCAGCACTACCACCCTAGCCCTGCAGCACTACCCCCTGCCCTGCAGCAGTACCCCTGCCCTGCAGCAGTACCCCTGCCCTGCAGAAAGTACCCCCTGCCCTGCAGCAGTATCCCCTGTCCTGCAGCAGTACCCCCTGCCCTGCAGAAGTACCCCCTGTCCTGCAGTACTACCCGCTACCCTGCAGCAGTACCCCCTGCCCTGCAGCAGTACCCCCTGCCCTGCAGCAGTACCCCCTGCCCTGCACCAGTAACCCCGCCCCCCTCGCCCCTTGCACAGTACCCCCCCTCGACCCTGCAGCAGTACCCCCTGCCTGCAGCAGTACCCCCTGTCCTGCAGCATACCCCCCCCTCCCCCTGCAGCAGCACACCCCTGCCCTGCAGCAGTACCCCTCCTGCCCTGCAGCAGTACCCCTGCCTGCAGCAGTACCCCCTGCCCTGCAGCAGTACCCCTGCTCTGCAGCAGTACCCCCCCCCTGCCCTGCAGCAGTACCCCTGCCCTGCAGCAGTACCCCTGCCCTGCAGCAGTACCCCTGCCCTGCAGCAGTACCCCTGCCCTGCAGCAGTACCCCCTGCCCTGCAGCAGTACCCCCTGCCCTGCAGCAGTACCCCTGCCCTGCAGCAGTACCCCTGCCCTGCAGAGTACCCCTGCCCTGCAGCAGTACCCCTGTCCCTGCAGTATACCCCTACCCTGCAGCAGTACCCCCTGCCCTGCAGCAGTACCCCCCTGCCCTGCAGCAGTACCCCTGCCCTGCAGCAGTACCCCCTGCCCTGCAGCAGTACCCCTGCCCTGCAGCAGTACCCCCTGCCTGCAGCAGTACCTCCTCCCCCTGCCCTGCAGCAGTACCCCTGCCCTGCAGCAGTACCCCCCCAACCCTGCCTGCAGCAGTACCCCTGCCCTGCAGCAGTACCCCCATGCCCTGCAGCAGTACCCCCTGCCCTGCAGCAGTACCCCTGCCCTGCAGCAGTACCTGCCCACCCCCTGCCCTGCAGAAAGTACCCCTGCCCTGCAGCAGTACCCCCTGCCCTGCAGCAGTACCCCCCCTGCCGCAGCAGTACCCTGTCCTGCAGCAGTACCCCCTGCCCTGCAGAAAGTACCCCCCTGGTCCCTGCCCGAGATACCCTGCCCTGCAGCAGTACCCCCTGCCCTGCAGCATACCCCTGCCCTGCAGCAGTACCCCTGCCCTGCACCAGTACCCCCTGCCCTGCAGCAGTACCCCCTGCCCTGCAGCAGTACCCCTGCCCTGCACAGTACCCCTGCCCTGCAGCAGTACCCCCTGCCCTGCAGCAGTACCCCCTGCCCTGCAGCAGTACCCCTGCCCTGCAGCAGTACCCCTGCCCTGCAGCAGTACCCCCTGCCCTGCACCAGTACCCCCTGCCCTGCAACCAGTCCCCCTGCCCTGCAGCAGTTACCCCTGCCTGCAGCAGTACCCCCTGCCCTGCACAGTACCCCTGCCCTGCAGCAGTACCCCTGCCCTGCAGAAGTACCCGCTGTCCTGCAGTGCTACCCGCTACCCTGCAGCAGTACCCCTGCCCTGCAGCAGTACCCCTGCCCTGCAGCAGTACCCCTGCCCTGCAGCAGTACCCCTGCCCTGCAGCAGTACCCCCTGCCCTGCAGCAGTACCCCTGCCCTGCAGCAGTACCCCTGCCCTGCAGCAGTACCCCTGCCCTGCAGCAGTACCCCCTGCCCTGCAGCAGTACCCCTGCCCTGCAGCAGTACCCCTGCCCTGCAGCAGTACCCCTGCCCTGCAGAAGTACGCCCTGTCCTGCAGTACTACCCGCTACCCTGCAGCAGTACCCCTGCCCTGCAGCAGTACCCCTGCCCTGCAGCAGTACCCCTGCCCTGCAGCAGTACCCCTGCCCTGCAGCAGTACCCCTGCCCTGCAGAAGTACCCCCTGTCCTGCAGTACTACCCGCTACCCTGCAGCAGTACCCCCTGCCCTGCAGCAGTACCCCCTGCCCTGCAGCAGTACCCCCTGCCCTGCAGCAGTACCCCGTGCCCTGCAGCAGTACCCCCTGCCCTGCAGCAGTACCCCCTGCCCTGCAGCAGTACCCCCTGCCCTGAAGAAGTACCCCCTGCCCTGCAGCAGTACCCCTGCCCTGCACAGTACCCCCTGCCCTGCAGCAGTACCCCTGCCCTGCAGCATACCCCTGCCCTGCAGCACTACCCCTGCCCTGCAGAAGTACCCCTGCCCTGTAGAAGTACCCCCTGCCCTGCAGCAGTACCCCCATGCCCTGCAGCAGTACCCCTGTCTGCAGCAGTACCCCTGCCCTGCAGACAGTACCCCATGTCCCTGCAGTGTACCCCTACCCTGCAGCAGTACCCCCTGCCCTGCAGCAGTACCCCCTGCCCTGCAGCAGTACCCCCTGCCCTGCAGCAGTACCCCTGCCCTGCAGCAGTACCCCTGCCCTGCAGCAGTACCCCTGCCCTGCAGCAGTACCCCTGCCCTGCAGCAGTACCCCTGCCCTGCAGCAGTACCCCTGCCCTGCAGCAGTACCCCTGCCCTGCACAGTCTACCCCTGCCTGCACCAGTACCCCCTGCCCTGCAGCAGTACCCCTGCCCTGCACCCAGTACCCCTGCCCTGCACCAGTACCTCTGCCCTGCAGCAGTACCCCTGCCCTGCAGAAGTACCCGCTGTCCTGCAGTACTACCCGCTACCCTGCAGCAGTACCCCCTGCCCTGCAGCAGTACCCCCTGCCCTGCAGCAGTACCCCCTGCCCTGCAGCAGTGCCCCGTGCCCTGCAGCAGTACCCCTGACCTGCAGCAGTACCCCTGCCCTGCAGACAGTACCCCTGCCCTGCAGCAGTACCCCTGCCCTGCAGAACTCACAGTCATAGCTACAACAAGCAGCCACATTCTATGAACTCTTATCAAACAAAAATATTTTGCAAATATTAATTAAAAATCAGCTTCTCCGCGACAACAATAAAAACACCAGCGTCTCTGTAAGCTCTCTGAATATCACTATTTGCCCTGATATTCTACACTTGTTTTCCGATAATAAAATTGTCAGATTTATCGGGTTTTCCATATCTGGGAAAACAATAACAAACTAGAGCAAACACTTAAGATATGATATTATTGAATTGTTTTGATTCTGGGACCCTCTTTCATTCCTTATCCAATAGAGTGAACGAGGTCCCAGGGCAAAAATTGTAATAATATTGCCGAATTGATTTGCTCGTGTCTCTAACCACAACTTGTCGGCATGATATACATACATACATACATACATACATGCATACATACAACACACAAAATTTATATATATATATATATATATATATATATATATATATATTATAATATATATATTATATATATATATATAATATATATATATAGTAATGCCGAATAGGTAAAATTGGTGTATTAGCAAGAACTTATTTAAAATTAAGTCCTTTCTAAAATTTCCTCTTACTCGTTTAAAGATATATTTTTTTCATTTTTGTTAATGCAAAAATTAATAATTTTGTACCATAAGAACCTTAGAAAATTTACCTAACCTTCATAATAAGCTCAATTTAATTTAGCCTAATCCATAGATAAGTTTACAAAAATTTAATAATAAACAAAAATAATGGAAAATGTTTTTCTCGTTAGGTTCAGAATGATTTTTGCGAAATTACTGCTTACACAAATTTTCGCTTGCCTTATTTGGCAGGAAGAGTGTTGCTATTTAAGCCAAAATCACAAGTTTTACCTGTTCGGCACAACACACATATATATAATCTGAATGACTCGTTACACACAGTGTCGATACGCTATTTTCAGGTTTGCCTTGTGCCCATATGCTGCAGCAGTTATTTGGCTGATGTGAGCCTCAGATGTGCTCGGTATGGTACTCACCCCAAGATCCTTTTCCTTAAGTGAGGTTTGCAGCCTTTGTCTCCCTAGCCTGTTCTCCGACTGCGGTGTTCTTTGACCTTTCCCAGTCTTCATGACTTTGCACTAAATGGGGTTAAACTCCAGGAGCTAATTGCTGGACCAAGCTTGCAGCCTGTCCAGATCCCTTTATAGTGCTACATGATACTCATCCGTTTAAATTCTCTGCATTTGCTTTACATCTTCTGCAAACATTGACGGCTGTAAATCTATTCCTTCAGTCATGTCTCTCACATATACTAGAAACAGCACCGGCTCTCGGACTGAGCCTTGTGGAACAGCGCTCGTCTCAGGTACCTACTCTGACACCTCGTCACGTACCATTACTCGTTGTTTCCTTCATGTATTCATAGTTCCATTGCAGTGCCTTTCCTCTTATTCCTGCCTGCTCCTGTGTCAAAAGCTTTCTTACAGCCCAAGAAAATGCAGTCTACCCACCTCTCTCTCTCTCTCTCCCGTCTTATTTCTTTCACCTTATTGTAAAACTCCAGTAGATTTGTGACACAGGATTTTCCTTCCCTGAAACCATGCTGGTTATCGTGTATATGCTCGTTCCTTTCTTAACTTCTCCATGACTTTGCATACTATACATGTCAGAGACACTGGTCTGTAGTTTAATGCTGCATGTCTGTCCTGTTTCTTAAAAACTGAGACTTCATTTGCTGTTTTGCACACCTCAGGTAGTTTCCCTTTTTCGATATGTGTGTTGAAGATTGTTGTTAGTGGCACACACAGCACCTATGTTCCCTCTCTCAGAAACCATGGAGAGATGTCCGTTCCCACCGAATTCGAGGTATCTAGTTCCCAGAACAGCCTTATTGGTGTAACCTCCGATTCTTGTTTGCTGGTGTCCTTCATGTCTCCACTGAAAATACTTCCTTCAATATCGTGCTGAGCTTTTCACATTCCTGGTCGTTTCTTGTAATCTTCCCTTCCTCCTTCCTCAGCCTGATTACTTGGTCCTTGACTGTTTTCCTCATGATGTGGCTGTACAACAGCTTTGGGTCATATTTGGCTTACGGTGCTTGTTCATTCTCGTATTATCGCTGGGCTTCCCTCCTTATCCATGCATATTCATTTCTGGGTCTTTGACTAGTTTACATATTATCCTGGGTCCTTTGTCTTCTACACTTTTTTCATTTTCTAGTGCACTTAGTTTTTGCCTCTCCATAACTCTGGGTGAACCAAAGTCTCGTTCTGTTCTTCTCATTGTTGCTGTGGCTCTCCCCCGACTCCTTGCATTTTATGGTCATCTATTCAGTCATTTCATTTATAATTTTACCATCAATTTTCTTTCCCACTGTACCTCATGCAAGAAATTTCCCATCCTTGTGTAGTCCCCTCTTTCATAGTTTGGCTTCTCCCGTCCTACTAGCGCTGCTTCCCTTCCCACTTACAGCTCTACAGTGTATTCCAAGCTTAGGACCACGTGATCACTAGCTCCAAGGGGCCTTTATATGTGATATCACCAATGTCTGAACTACTCGAAGTGAATATGAGGTAAGTGTATGTGGTTGGGGGGGGGTTGGTCTGCTAGCCAAACTTTGACATCCCCAGGATGTCACCCGCAACACCAACACAAACGCCGGGTCACCATCTGGAGAAGACCCGGGCCTGAAGTACCGGCAAATCAACAAGAAGAAGAAGACCAACACAAAGTGGAAAGAGGTTTACCCATATTTCAGCACATTAATCTTCAAGTCATAGAAAAACAACTCCGCCCAAAAGTGCTGGATCCGAAATCGAAACCGTGAAAATTTTTTTCATGGCATAATCAGAATCCATAATTAAAATGAAAAAAGGGGGGGGGGCAAATAAGCTTTAATACCAAAATATTTGAAGAGACATGTCAATCGGACCAGTAAATCACGGAAGATCTGAAAAAAAACATCGAACAAAACATGGAAGCCCGGCAGCAGCCAGCGCATTTCCATTCAGGCTGACCTCACAAAAGTCAGTGGTCAACAAGGATGCCGAGACAGAACAGAATAGTCACACTTACCCAACGACCTCCACACTTCTTCCTCGTTTTCTTTGGACCACTGGACAGCAGCACCGCCTGGATGGTCGTAGTGAGCCCGAAGTTTGCGACCAGACTTCGAAGTGGCCAAGATGATGAAGGTTCTCTGTTCCTCTAAGGGGGACAAGCAGTCCTCCCGCGGGCCGAAGTTCGTCACATTGACGCGCCTGAAAGGGAGAATGATGATTTTATTTTACGAAAATAAAAGGCACAATACCGTGACAGGGACAATGCCCAAATAACTCGCACAGGAGAAAGGAGCTTATGACGACTTTTTGGTCCGACTTGGACCATTGACTAGTCACAGTTTGACTAATCAGTATTATATCTAGTCGGACCGAAAGGCCGTCATAACTTCTTGTATGTGCGGGTTGTGTGGAGTACAACTGCAATGTACTGCCACTTTACTCAATATTTTTCTGTTACAACATGTGTTTCGTTTGTTGCATGATCAAAAAAAAAAAAACTATCCTCGTACCTCATATCTCCAGCTCCCTCTACCTCGTTGCACACAAGTGGAAACAGAAAATTCGGCGTAAGTTCTTATTGCAGATTAAAATCAGTTCTAAAGAGGCATTCACAAATCATCGCATGGAAACTAATGTCCCATTTATTTTTCATTAGAAATTACCATCAATAGAGTCGAAAACAATTCTGAACGTTTCACTAAGTAAGATTCGCCAACTTTTAGGTTTAAAGCTAATGAAAAGAGTCGTCGTAAACTTTTCTCTCCTATGTGTAGGTTGTTTATTGTTCCAATTACAGTGTCGTGCCTTTTCGTTCTTTACATCAGCACTTTCAGTCTAAAGCCACTAAAGTTACAGCTTCAGGTTAAGTGCATTAACGATTTGATTCTGATTGAAAAGTGTTTTTACAAGCAGTTGCATGAAAACCGGCATTTAAATTTTACCACCTGTATATAATCTGACAGATTCAACTTCCCAGCAGTTCAAGGAACAGCTATTGAAAACTGATTACTGTCTGGAAAATCTTCTAGCCCCATCCCCAAACATCTTGCTGCTTGGCGACTTCAATTTAAGACAATGGAAGAATGTAGCAAATAATGTTACTGCAGAAATAATCCCAGGACGCAGCTCAGATGAAAATTCTTACAAACATGTGCTGTTGAATCTGCAATAAAATCACCTTAAAGCAGCAAACAGAAGAAACGAAATTATTCAAATTAAACGGTAAACCCATGTGAGTCATTCAGCACAAGACGTGGTAGAGGCTTGATACTCCGTCTGCCGAGCGCGAGACGTACGCGCTTCCTATTTGTACTCGCTTACATGTCCAGCAAGCAGTGGAGTCAACAAAACTGGAAAACACACTTGACCTTATATTCACGAATGCTGATGACCGGGTAGAAATACAACAGTATCAAAGAGAGTTAATTCAGATCACAACCTAACTGAAGTACAAACTTGTATGCACTGGGGTCCTGCCCACCAAAATACAAACAGTTACGAGGGTTCCTTCAAATTTAAATATAACTACTAAAGCATCAACTGGAATTAAATCACGTCTTTAATTAAACATGCTCGGAAGATGTCTTAAATAACATGGATCCGAAGAAGTGTCTTGAAGGGTACAACTCTCTAGCAGCTGAATTATACCCAAGACACATTCTCCTTAAGATAAAGAAGAGAAATAAATTGGAAAGAGAGGGTCGGTCTCTTTAGAGGTGAAGGCGAAGAATCTCTGAACTTTTCAAGGGAGCCAGACAATCTGAAATGTGGAAGGAAACCCTAAGTAGGGAAGCAGAAAAAATTGAACTTTAGTTAATTGAAGCATACAGGATCCAGGAGAAAAAAGAACTAAAAGCAATTAATGAAACAAAGAAATTCAAGATATTTCTTTTCATATGCCAAAAGCAAGGCAACAATCACTTTTTTTGCTTGAACAAGAAATGAATGAGATATCGGACTAAGGATCGACAATCCCACTCTCTCACAAATACCATCCCCGCTTAAATTGTGAGTGCACCAAGGTTTAATGTCTGGCATGGTATATCAATAATAATAAAAATAATAATAATAATGAATATTTGTATTTGCAATGTGAACTAAAATTAATATTTGACAGTACAACGGTACTTACAGCAAAACAAAACTCTGCAACATTTCACTCAGAGATGAAACTCTAAAGGGATGTGTGAAAAGTTATGTTGCAATAGCTATCATCTTCCCTTACAAACTATTTTTTTTTTAATTTCATTGATGGAAGCACCAAGGTAAATGAGAGCCAATGCTAATTTTTTTTGGGTCAAGAGCCATTCACAGGCGTCAAGGTTCGAGAAATTCTACGTGATTAACAGTGATGGTCAAAGCTGGTCAGGTTCCAGTATTTTTTTCCTCTGTGGATGCAAGAATCAGATTTCTGCAGAACACAAACTGAGTCATTTCAGAGCACAAACTGAGTCACTTCAAAGGAACAGAGTCACTTCAGTACACTACAACGAGAAGTAAACGATAATGATTCTTCCAGTCATGAAGAGCCTCAAGTCCGTACGGGGTCATGCAAGGCCTCTGGACAAATAGGTTTGATCCGAGAAAACATAAGAACATAAGAAAGAAGGAATACTGCAACAGGCCTGCTGGCTCATGCGAGGCAGGTCCAAGTCTCCTACCGGCTTAAGCCAATGACCCAACCTAGTCAGGTTAGGTCATATCCACTTCAGGATGGTGCACGGAATCAGACCTAGTAGCACAAGCTAGTCAGGTCCAACTCACACCCACCCACACTCACTCATGTATTTATTTAACATATTTTTAAAATTATACAACGTTTTAGCTTCTATGACGGTACTTGAGAGTTTGTTCCACTCATCCACAACTCTTATCAAACCAGTGCTTTCCTATATCCTTCCTAAATCTGAATTTTTCCAACTCAGAACTATTGCTGCGAGTCCTGTGTTGGCTAGATATTTTTAGTGGGCTATTTATATTCCCTTTTATTCCTGTTTCCCATTTATACACCTCGATCATATACCCCCTAATTCTACGCCTTTCGAGAGAGTGCAGATTCAGGGCCCTCAGTCTACCCTCATAGGGAAGATTTCTGATACATGGGATCAACTTTGTCATCCTCCTTTGTACGTTTTCCAGTGTATTTATATCCATTCTGTAATACGGTGACCAGAACTGTGCAGCATAATTTAAATGCCTAACCAAAAATGAGGAACTGAGATACTTATGCAACATATGGAAATCTTTGTTGAAGAAACGTTTCGCCACACAGTGGCTTCATCAGTCATACAAAGCATGAAGGTATAAGGAGAGGAGGAGTTTGAGGTAATCTACAAGACTGATGAACCAAAGATAAACAGAGTTGAAGAACAACCTGAGGATTCCTATTATTTATGCTCCTTGATATGAAGCCAAGGATTCTGTTCGCTCAATTGCGAACACTAATGCACTGTTATCTTGGTTTTAGATTACTGCTAACTAGAACTCTCAAATCCTTTACGCAATCAGTAATATTAAAATCTATATTATATAGAATATGTGGCATGGCTATTTTCTTGTCCAATGTTTAGAACTTTGCTCTGTCCTCTTCAGAATGAATTTGGCGACCTGTTATGGTGTCAGCAGCAAACTTGCTTATGTCGCTATTTATTCCCTCATCAACGTCGTTTATATAAATTGTGAACAACAAAGGGCCCAACATTCACCCCTGTGGAACACCACTCTCCAATTCCTTAGATCAATATCCCGTCCCCAGCTTGCAGACACTTCTTGAAGAGGGAGAAGGTAGCATAGACGCTGATGTAGTGTAATGAAATGCTTTATTGACAACTTTTCATCCACTCAGTGAACTTTTAAAATTAACTGACTCGAAAAAGCATAGTGCATGAGCGAAACATCGTCAGTAAAAGATCTCATTATACTGCATTTGCACAGTTTCCTTCTTGTAGGTATTTTACATCATTTGTCTCCAGGGATTGGGAATGAAGGTGAGAGAAATGAAGGAGTGGGGAATGCAGGGGTGGAGAATGAAGGTGGAGAATGAAAGTGTGGGGAATGAAGGGATGGGGAATGAAGGGGGGTGGGGAATGAAGGGGGTGGGGAATGAAGATGTTGGAAATGAAGGGGTGGAGAATGAAGGGGTGGAGAATGAAGTGGTGGAGAATGAAGGGGTGGGGAATGAAACGGGTGGGGGAATGAAGGGGGTGGGGATTGAAGGTGGAGAACGAAGAGGTGGGGAATGAAAGGGTGGGGAATGAAGGCGTGGGGGATGAAGGGGAGTGGGGAATGAAGGGTGAGAAATGAGGGAAATGGGGAATGAAGGGGGTGGAGAATGGAAGGGGTTGGAAATGAGTGGGTGAGGAATGAAAGGGGAGTGAGGAATGTAGGGGGAGTGGGAAATTAAGGGGATGGAGAATGGAGGCGGAGAATGAAAGTGTGGGGAATGAAGAAGGAATAAGGAATGAAGGGGTAGCGTAATGAAGAGGGAATGAGGAATTAAGGGGTGTGAAGAATGAAGAGGGGGAGGCAGGTCTGAGGATTTTTTTTTTAAATATTACTCATATTTCAATGAAATCGTTACTGTAAATTAAGACGCTATTCATACGTCTATATTGGAAGTTCTATGAAATTTGCCTAAATATAGAGGAAAAAAATATTTTTTATATAGCCTCACTACATCTCTCTGGGGCAGGGGTGGTAGCACTTGCAGACTCGATTGAGAAGGCCATTGGTGAAATGCCTATGATTTTAAACTGATGGAAGATAGAGGTATGGGTGTGTGTGGGAAACAAGCAGGTTGCAACACTAGGGTTGGAAACAGTAAATGTATAAAAGGCATTCAGCATGAAGTTATAAATAAAGACAATAGATCAGGTCAGCAAACAAAGGGGGACAGCAGAGGGCAGCAAGGGACTAGCTCCCTTAAGGTTTACTATACTAATAGCAGGAGTGTTAGAAATAAGATAGATGAGCTAAGATTAATTGCAAGTGCAGGAAACATAGATATTATTGCTATAACAGAGACCTGGCTCAATCTGAAAGATAGAGAGATGCCTTCTGAATGTCACATACAAGGCTATAAATTATTCCACACTGACAGGGTCAACAGGAAAGGTGGTGGAGTAGCGATGTATGTCAGAGACAATTTAAATTGTTGTGTTAGACAAGATATTAAATTAGAAGCGTCAGCCACTGAATCT